TGAGCTGAACAGGCGTGCGGAGGCCAGCCGGGCCACACTTGGCCAGAAACAGGACAGATGCCTCGTTCCTTGCTGTCCAAGAACCACAACACACTCAAGGAGTTCTCCTCCATCTCCCCCACCCTACTTCTAACTTGAGGATGGCTGGGCCGGGATGTGGGGCAGCCAGACATGGGAGAGGCACCAAGAGAGAACCCCCAAAGTGTGGCACAGCAGCACCTGAGTTACCGGTGACAAGAAACGGCCTTCCTACGAACACCTACTGACAGGCTAAGCATCAGACACCCGGCTGTAAAGGACCGTTACCTCAGCCCGCACACACGCACGGGGCCAGGAGACAGATGCAGGTGAGTAATCAGGTATTTGAAATAGCGTGTGCTCCCTGCTCTGATGGGGGACGCACAGAAACTCTGGGAACACACAGGAAGGGTGTCTGAGGGCTGGGACCACCGGAGAAGGAGCCCTCGAGAAAAGATGTTACCAAGCTGAGCTGAGGTTCTCGTACATTCTATTTGCCTCTTGTCTCATAGTTGGTGGATTTTTATTACAGATCCCAACAACTCCACACAGGGAACCTCAATAACAAAGTGCCAATTAGCAGTGAAGAAGCACTTAGAGACGCCTCGAGAGGGCCAGGGACTGGGCCAGGAAACACGACAGATGAACGGAACACAGCTCCAGCCTTTCCAGCAACCAGTAAGAGGATAAAACAAAAAACCCAGAAACGAGCAATGACACACGATGAAGGACTGCTCAGGATCATCTACTCCTGCGTATGTGTCTGCGATGGCTGGACACGGCTTGAGGGCGTCCAAGGGTTCATGTGCTTTGTGGGTGAAAATCCACCTCCCTTGTAAGGTACCAAGAGGGCAGAAATTCTACATGGCGGTAAGAGGAGGAGGAGAATCTGCACATGGTGGTGCACACTTGTAGTTCTAGCTACTCAGGAGGCTGAGACAGGATAATTTAGGCCAGGAGTTCCAGGCCAGTCTAGGGAACACAGGAAATCCCATCTTTAAAAAAGAAAAGCAGTCAGGCATGGTGGCACATGCCTGCAATCCCAGCACTCGGGAGGCTGAGGTAGGAGGATCCCTGACAGTCTGAGGCCAGCCTGGACTACACAGTGAGTTCAAGGCCAGCCTGAACTCCATAGCAAGACCCTGTCTCAAAAAACAAAAGGAGAAAGACAAGACACACAATTTATTATTTTAATAACTTTACAAGTGAGCCCACTCTGCTCTGTAGCCTCGCCTGATCTTTTCCCCAGTGGAAACTGAAGAATACCAGCTTTTTTTTCCCCTAGTACTGGGGATTGAACCCAGGGCCTCAACTCTGAACTATATCTCCAGTCTTTTGTTTGTTTGTTTGTTTTTGGTTTTTTATTGTTGTTTTATGAGACAGGGTCTCACTATGTAGTTGAGACTGACCTGGAACTCTCTATGTAGCCCAGGCTGGTCTCGAACTCACAGTGATCCTCCTGCCTCAGCCTCCTGAGTGCTGGGATTACAGGTGTGTGCCACCACGCCTGGCTTCTCCAGCCTTTTTAATATTTTATTTCAAGGTGGAGTCTTCGTAAATCACTAACTTGCCCAGGCTCAACTCAAAGTTCAGATCCTCCCATCTCAGCCTGCCAGAGTGCTAGGATAACAGGCGTGCACTACTATATCTGGCTGTAGTTCAGGTTTCTTCATGGATATTGCTCTGTCTACATTTTGCATTCCTGGACTCCAGAAGTCAAGGGGGATTCAATTCAAAGGGCAAGTAAGCTATCTCTCCCACTGCAGCCCTGGGCAAGGAAGTTAACCCTCAGTCTCAGGATTCTCATCTCAAAGACTTGGGAGAATGTGATGAGATAACACAGTCTGTGCCTGACCCAGAGCACCTGGCCTTGTGGTCAGCACTCGGGAAAGCCCTGCGGTTCTAGTTTTGGTTTGAACTTGGCCGAGTCACTATGCCCAGTTGCAGTGGGTGCCATCTCTTCCCTGGGAGGCTGAGGCTGGGCAGGTAAAGGGGCCGTCTCCTGGCCACCTGGCCCTCTGCTTGCTTTCTCCCCCAGAGAGCAATAGAAAATCACAGAATGTGGGCACTCACACACACACACATGCAGGAGGATGATTTCCTTCCGTCTGTCTGGCGGGGGCATCTGGTCTGGCTGGGAACAGCACCTTCTCCCCTGGGTTAATCCCTGCCCCTAGTTCCCAAGAGCTGGGCAATCAGCCCAAAGACATCATTAGCACCATCAGCTTCCTGCTGGTTGGGAACCAGACCCTGAGCTCAGGGCGGACATGCATCATCTCCCTTACCCTCTTCCCTGCCTTTCCCTCTCCTAAACCGATCTTCCTCCTCCCACCTCCCACGGCAGACTCTGCTCCTTTGTCTCCTCCCCCCACCTCCCCCCTTACAGTTCCAGCCTCATCACCTTCTCTCCCCAGCCTGCTTGGGTTTCCACTGCCCATGTCCCTAGCCTTATATTTACTTGTTTACTGTCTGTCTTCGACAGCTAGAATGTCAGCTTCTTAAGGGCAGGGACTGTCCAGGGTCTCTTGTTTTTCTTGTAAATAATATATAATCATTTGCTTTGTTTTATTATTATTTTTTTTTCAGACAGGGTCTTGATATGCAGTTCAGGCTGGGCTTTGACTCACAATGTAGCCCATTCTGGACTTGAACTCATGGCGATCCTCCTGCCTTGGGATGCCACGGCATATTTATTTCGTGTGCATCTGTGAGTTTGTGTGTAAGTGTGTGTGTTTGTGTGTGTGTGAGTGTGAATGTGCATGTGCCTGTGTGTGCCTGGACTGTGCCTGATCCCTGGAAGCTGCTAGGCAAACTCATGCTGCAGGCATTTTTCTTATCAGCTCTAATTCACAGATGAGACGTCAGGCTCAGCTCACTGAGCTCAGGAAACCTGGATTTGAACCCTAATCGGTCTGTCTCCAGAGGATGGGTCTGCATCCCTAGCCACTGGCCCTGCCCCAGGAAACTGGGGGTTCTGTGGATCTGGAAGGTGTTGTCTGCATCCCCCATGCCAGGCTGCCCGTGCAAGAGTCCACTGCAGTCACCCTGTGGCCCTCCCTTTGCTCAATGTCAAGTGTGCAAGGAGGGAGCAAAAGGTAAGGAAAGGTAAGTTCCAACCTCAAATTCAAAAGACAGAACATTCCAGGTCTCAGTGTCCTCACCTGAAAGTGAGAGGTGCTGAACTTGACCTAAAGAATGGCAGAGAACAGGACAACAGCTAAGAGTGTGAGCTGAACCAGGTGTGGTGGTGCATACCAGTAATCCCAGATTCTCAGGAGGCTGAGGCAGGAGGATCTCAAGTTTCAGGCCAGCCTGGGTAACTTAGCAAGACCTTGTCTCAAAAAAAAAAAAAAAATTTTTTTTTTAATTGCCTAGGGATATAGGTACATAGAAGAGTGCTTGCCTAGCATGTATGAGGCCCTAGGTCCAATACTGATCACTACAAAACAAAAATCAAAGATATGGGCACTGGGTTAAGAACAGTCTTCTGATTTCAATCTTACCCTAGAACTGTGAGCATGTTATATCTTTTCTCTGAGCCTCAAGTTTCCTCACCTATGAAATGAGGAAAACAGGGCCAGGGATTTAGCTCAGTGGTTCTGCCACCTGCCTTGCAAGTGCAAGGTCCTGAGTTTGAACCCCAGCACCAGAAAAAAAAAAATGAGGACAACAAACACTCACTTTCTATGGGTGCTGTGAGGCTTAAATGGGGTAACATACATACAACTCTAAGCAGAGTGCCTGGCCCAAAATAAGTGTCAAATAAAGTATTTATAGATAAACCATCATCCATAATTCAAAGCTCTATGCCTTGGTGATAACGTTACTTCTGCAGGGGAAGCGAGTCCTGCCTCTCACTGAGTGGGGTTTTTGAATAACGCTTTTTTTGGCCTCACAGGACTTTGAAGTTCAAGTTCTTTCCACTTATGAAGAAAGACTAGGAAAGTTATAGAGGACAAGATTCTTTCCGCACACACCCTTCCCTGCCAGAGACAAAGCCACTGATTTCTGCAGCTGCACTAGGAGCTCTAAATTAGTAGAATACAGCCCAGACACCCGATCCCGGCCCACACCCCCAACGGGTAATGGGGCCGCTACAGCCTGCGTGATGGTAAATTGCTAATTTAAGCCAGGCTTTCTGTTCTACCCTGCGATTATCCTCCTTCCTGTGCGCATGGTGATATTCTGGGTAGCCAATTCAATTTCGAGGTCCCAGGATTTGGAAGTTAGTGAAATCATTCCTTGGCTCTGCAACGGACCCCTGCCTCTCCAAGTCCAGACAGCTGCCAGGGTGAGAGAGGGATCCTGAGACCACAGCATCAGGGACTCATCTTCTTCACATCTCAGCTGTGATAAGAGGGACCTGACATTGTGCTTCTCTTCTCTTTTCCCCACCTGCATCACCAGCACCAAACCTTTTCGGTACTGTTTTCCGGCACCTGCTTGTTGAACACGGAACAGGAAACTGCCTATGTTACACAACCCCCGTTCCTTCCTTGAGAGGTCTGACTGGTGAAAGTCCCCGTGGAAATAATATGAGATGTGCACAAACATGTACACTGAGAAGTGCCCGCAGCAATGTTATCTAGGCTGGCACGATATGGGAAATAATGTAAGTCCCCCTAAACAGAACATACTCATATAACGTAGTTGTCAAAAATCATATTTTCAAAGCTAGTGTTTGTGTGTGTGTGCACACGTGCGCATGCAGGAGGGGGAAAAACTGGGAAGGGAACATCAAAATGACGAAGCTTTTCTCTGTGACAGGACTATGGGTAACATCTGTCTTTGCTTACTTCTTGTTATCTTTATTAAAAGAAAATGTCTAACATTGAGCTGATAAAGTTTCCCACTAGCATCCACCCCATAATTAATCCTAGCTCCCTCTAGGGCTCAATAAATGTCGGCCAAATGAATGAGAAGCAAGCCTTGCTCCTCTCCTCGAGAGTCGTAATTACAGAAAACGTTCCTGGGATACTCACCAAATGCCTGGTACAGGGCTGAAATCTTTCACTTCACACCCAGGAACTCCTCATAACCATCCTGTAAGAGTCTGCCACTGCCCCCATTTCACAGACGAGAAGACTGAGGCTCTGAGCTGTGATACATGTATTGTTCAAGCTCACTTACTCTACAAATGCCACAGCTGGATGGTGATTCCAGGTCAGTCTGGCTCCAATGCCAGAGAGGCCTCAGGGATCTGCAGACAGTAATCCTCCTCTTCCCGTGGCCTGTGCTCCACTTCTCTACGTAAACCCCCTCAGCTCTGGCCTCTGCTCCCCACACATCTCCAGGCAACAGAGGCTGAGTAGTACACGTGGACTGGTTTGAGGTCCTGAGTCTCCACTCCACCCTTCTTGCTGTGAGAAGCCCTTGCTCCTCTGAGCCTGGAATCCTCATCTGTGAGAGCAGTGAGCCCCCACTGCAGGCTCAGGGTACAAGTGATGACACAAGGCGCTCAGGAGGAGGCCTCTCAAGTGTCCTCTGTGACTCCTCCGACTCACCCAAGTGTGAGCAACAGACACTCCCCAGGAAATGAACCCAAGACCTAGGAAGTGGCAGGCGGGACAGGGCTACTGCTTGCTTCCTCCACTCGGCCTCACCTGAGGTCACCAGCCCGGCCCCCTGCCTTCTTGTTAAGTCTGCAGGCATCAAGCTGCAGAAAGAGGGCTCTGAGGCTAGGCTGTCAGTTGACCCTTCCAACGTCACAAGGTGGCTGCCACTGCCCTCAGCCAGTCTGCCTGGATTCCCCACATTGAATTTTTTCTCATACAACCCACTCCCTGCACCAAATTTATCCTCTTGAACACCATTCTGCACAGATTGCTCCGAATTTCTTTTCTCCTAGCCTGGGACCCAGAGCTCCCTCGCTTCCCAGTGTGGCTGGCCTTACTGTCGGACCCAACGACATGCGTGGCCTCAGCGCAGCCCCTGGCCCCTAACACAGCCAGGCTGGGATGCCTCGGGGCCTCTCCTCAGCTCTCTGCTGTCTACACCTACCCACCTTCCCCCAGGTAGCCAGGGCCCTTCTGAAAGTTACACCTCCTGAGGGAGTCCTGAACCAAGGGACTAAGTTCACAGACTGGTCCCGCCCTTGCAGAGCTCAGTACATAGCAGGCGCTTTTGACACCATGGAAAGGAGGACATCTACTTCCAAGGTCTTTCCTTTTTGTCCTCCAGGCTCCCATCCTGATACTCACCAGGGCCCCGGTACTCTCAGCCTGGCTGCAGAGAACTCACTGCCCTCCTACTGCCCTCCGTCATCCGCTGGACCTCCTGCTGCCCATGCTGCTCCCTCCGTCTGGAGGGGTCTGCCCCCACCTCTCCATGCAGCCAGCCAGAGCTCCTCATCCATGTCTTGGCCCAGGCAGCCCCCCTCTTCTTGGTCCCACACTTGTCCCAGAAGCTGTAACGGAGCAGGCATTTCCTGGCCATGGCTGTGTTTAGAGCTGGAGGCTGTGTGAGGCTTACACAGAGTGGGCAGGTGGAGCTGCAGCCAACAGGCCTGCACTGGCAACAGCACATGGAGCTCCTGTAGGGATGCGGGGCAGGGCCTGAGGAAAGGGCAGCAGCTAGAGGTGTGCTGTTTAATCACCGCAACTACCCACATACTGGGCTTCGTAGGCCAGCAAAGATAAGACATGGACTTGGCACCAATTCTGCAAAGCTGACTCTTGAGCGCTTTCCCAGCAGCCCCTGACTGCAGGCAAAGACACGGGACAACCACCGGAGCCCTCACTCACGTGTTGCAACCCTTCCCCAGACCACACTGCCTGGCCTGACCCTGCCCTGCTGCTTCACACTGCAGTCCCCTCACACGCAGAACACCATGCTTTATCAGCTTGCCCTCATCCAGTCTTCAGGACAAGCAGTTATGGGGTGGGTGTTAGTATCCACACTTCACAGAGGAAGACGCTGAGGTAGAAAAGCCAGCCGACTCACTGAAGACCGTAGGAGGTGGCAAAGCTAGCGTCTGATACGAGAGAAGTAGAAGACACAGGTTCAGGGGAGAGCAAGGGGCAGAGAAGCACACAGCGTGAGAAGGTCTCCCAGGAGGAGGCTGGGAAGGTGCAGACACAGTGGGGGGCAAACATGCTGAAACCAGGATCCCCACAGGTCTAGGCAAGGAGAGAACAGACAGGAGGCAGGTGGAAAAGCCTCTGTCCATTCTCCTGCCCTGAGAAACCTGGCAGCTGTGGTGCATGCAGAGGGAAGAGGGGGTCACGGGCCAGAGAGGAGGGTCTGCTAAGCCCTCACGCTCCACCCTACCTAGAGGGCTGTCCACAAGAATTCTCTGGGATGCCAGCCCAGTTGGGGGCACGGGCTCTGCTCAGAAGGGGCTGTCAGGGTCTACTCAGGCACTGCAGGAACTGAGGGTAAAGCTTGGCCTCGGGCACCCAATATCCCAAGCAATGCTGCTCACACTTCACAGAAGCAGAGGCCGTCTGCTGGGAGTGTCATTTCCCGACTCTCACTCACGTATCTGGAAGGATGAGCGGGCTTTCCGGGGGGGTCCCAGGAGTGAAGAGAGGAATGGAGACTGTTTTGTGATCTGGCTTTCTGAGATCCCCGTCCTTTTTCTCCTTCCTTCCTTCCTTCCTTTCTTGGTAACAGGGATCAAACTCGGAACCTTGCACTACGAAGCAGGCAGCAGAACCACTGAGCTAAATCCCCAGCCCCCTTTCTTTATTTTTTTATTTTGAGACGAGATCTTACTAAATTATTCGGCTGCCTTAGAATCTGCAATCTTCCCGCCATAGCCTCCTAATGAGCTGGGATATCGGAGGGCCCACCACGCCTGGCTTGCCCTCAGCTTCCACTTCGCTCCCCCTACTCATCCCTCCGCTCCACAGAGGTCACCTCTGATATCTCGGACCAGGTCAGACTATCCACCACCCTCGTGGCTCCCCAAGCCCTCTTGGCACGGCTACAAATTCTAGCTTTTGGGAGGACAAGCTGATGAACACCTGTTTCTCCCACCACAACCAAAGCTTCAGGAGGTCCAAAGCATTCTTTTTTTTTTTTTTTTGGTGGGGGGCGATGGTGCTACTACGGATGGAATCCAGAGCCTTTTCATTGAACTACATCCTAAGCCCTTTCTATTTTTTAATTTGAGACAAGGTCTCACTAACTCCCTAAATTGCCCAGGTGGGGCTAGAACTTGCAATCCTCCAGTCTCAGCTCCCCAGAGTGCCAGGGTTATATCTTGGGGCATTGAGGCCAATCCCCACCGTGCACTTCCACAGAACTTAACTGAATAAATTAATTCCTTTCACTTCTTCACACAGAGCTCCTCCCAGTTTTCAGAGTCTAAAAGGCTCAGATTTCACACTTCATCTCCCTAAAGCCTCACCCCAGCCCTGGATATATTATTGTTATCTCCACTTTACAGATGGGGAAATGAACTTCAGAAAGGCAAAGTGGCTGTGTAGCCCACATACACAGCAAATCATTAAGTGACTTCAAACTCATGTCTGGCTTCAGAACCCTACCTCTGCCAACTCTACTACCCTCTTGTGCTGTCCCAAGGATCCTCTGGATCTTCCCTTGCAAACTTTCCCCTACCCACCTCCTAAGCTGTCTTAGCTCAGGACTGATGGGTAAAATGCATTCATTCATTCAACCAATCTACCAATTCATCTGTTTGGGTACTGGGGTATCACAGACCAGAACTCAAGGAGCCTTTCCAGGCAACAGGAGCTTTTCTCTCCTTCCTTTGCTGCCCACTCCCTAGTGCTCTGGGGACTTTTCCAGAAGTAGCTGAGCCCTGGATGGTCTGCCCTGTCTTGAGCCCACTCCTCAGCCCTGTACTCTCCCCTCCTCCAAGGACAAGAAGCAGCCTAAAACGCACGGCTGAGTAACATAGGATCACAGTCCTGGGGTCTCCATCATGCTCTGAGAATCCTAGGACAGGAGATGGGACGGGACTCTGTCAACCTCTAGGCGGGCTTTGCATGAGCCTTACCCCAGGCAGCTCTAGAAAAATTTCTGGACCTGAAGTCACAAGGCCAGGGTTCTTGTTCTGGGTCTGGCGCTAGCTGAGGTGCCTGAGATCAAGTCACTTTGCCTTTCTCTGAGCTGCATATTCCTCAATCTACCTATAAAAGGGAAGGGTGATGATCATGATGAGCCAAATGCTCACCACACAGGTTGTAGTTGAGGATTAAATCACCCAGATCCAGATAGTTATCATGCAGATGGTTGGTCAGGGAAATGTCTTAGCAGCTGGAGACCTAGGGAGTCAGCTACATCATTTGCATTTATTTGACAAGTGATTTTCAGAAGGTTGGTTGGGAACACACCTAGCAGGCTGAGCCCAGAGCCGACACTGAGAAGTGAGCGGCCCTTGCCTTGCTCGGTGGTAATGGAGAAGCTGTGTTCATAAGCCAGCAGCCAGGGACCCTGGGGAGAAGGCAGGAAACAGGAACACACTGGTGCTCAGCTTTTCTCACGCTGGCATTCCCGGAGCTCCCCTAGAGAAAGCATGGGCCAGGAACCTGGAACTCTCTGAATTAGAGCAATTCTCCGGTCCACTTTAGGACAAGTTCCTCCCTCGTATGCCCCGCTTTCATCAGCACTGGGTTCTGCAGGATTTGGAAAATTCCTCTTCCTCCCTGTACAAACAGCTTCCGTTTTACTGGGTCCAGGCACCAGGCCAGCTGTACTGTGTATGCTCTCTCACAATTATTGACACCTCACATTTATCCAACTGAAAAGTATTGCTACCGCCCATTCTACAGATGAAGTAATTGAGGTTTGACGGGGCTAAGAGATTTGCCCAAACCACAAAGCCAGTTCATAACAGCAGGAATTAGTAGTCAGGTTGGCTCAATTCTAAGCCTACAGAGTGGGGAAACACTGAGGAACACACAAAGATCAACCCTTCTCCTGCTTGGGGAAATTTCCTCACTGTAGCCAGTGATGAGTCACTGAAAGACTTCTGCCTTCTGCTCTTTTTTTTTTCTCTTTCGAGGCCGGGGATGGAACTCAGGGCCTTGCACATTACTAGACAAGTGCTCTGCCACTGAACTACACCCCTGGCCCCTCTCCTCTTTCTTGGGGAGCAAAGAGACCATCAATGCCAAAGCCCCTGTGACCTACAGGTTCCATTCCACTGTTCAACACATTCTGCCTAAATAGATCCCACACTGTGGAATTCAAACTTTCTAATCAAGATTGGTTCTTGCTGGGCGTGGTGGCACATGCCTGTAATCCCAGCACTCGGGAGGCTGAGGCAGGAGGATCACTGTGAGTTCGAGACCAGCCTGGGCTACATACTGACTTCCAGGTTAGTCACAACAACATAGAGAGACCCTGTCTCAGAAAAAAAAAAAAAAAAAAAAAAGATTGGTTCTCTATTCTTCAACAGGGAAACTGAGGCAGAAAGGAGGTGGGACAAGAAGAACGGACCTGGCCCTCAGTGACTAAGCTGTTACCAAAGCGCCCAGTTCATATGTCCAATCTCTAAGTCCATGATCTGCCCGTGATCTGCCCTCTACCC